AAAATGCCATTTAATGGGGCAAAGAAGACATTTGCGAGTCAAGGATGGGAAGGGGTTCAACTTAAAAACTCACCAAAAACACTGTGCATTAGAAATTCACAGAAAAAGGTTATCATGAGTTCTCAGGGCAAGTGATTGTAGACTTGTAGTGCCTGGAAAGTGCATAGCTTATAGGCTTAAAGCAAACATGTCTTGATGAGAAAATGCAGCCACAAATAAGAACTGATTTACAAGATATAGCACATCCCTTCATTAATACTAATAGACAACTTATTAAATGATGATTAAACAGCACGTTTTACCTGATTCATATAAGTAATATATAGCATAGGACAATCTTATTAAAACCAGTGTTTTGAACTATCCAGAAACCATAAAATAAGGATAAAGAAATTATCATCACCAAGAAAAAAAGAAAAAGGAAAAGAAAAAGAGTAATATATACCTGGGGGTTGCCTCAAGACCCGCTGAATTTCATTATTCTCTTGCGCATGCTTTGCTACCATGTTCCAAATGGATAAAATAATAAGCAATTGAGATTAATTTTCAAAACTAAACTCTTAGTGTATCCTTTCTCCACTTACATCAGTATCTCTTCAACAAACCAAAAGATCAAAGCATCATCCATCTGTCTCCATTTTTATCACAAATTAGCTGAGTAAATATTGCATTTCATAAACCAAGTTCCATTGCATAACTACACATCTACGTACGGTTCTTCCATCTCTTTTTCACATTAATGGATAAGTATCTATATATACCAGAGAGAGAGAGAGGGAATGCAAAATAAGCATGACTTCAAAATGCATTCTGTATTAGAATAATAAAATGCCCTCTTTTCAGTCAATGACAAGAAGTCCACAAATGCTTGCACAAAAACAAGTAAAATTGCTCAAAGAAATGTTCAAATATAATTTGTGAGTGTAATATATACAAAGAAAATGTTTCCTTACAGATACAACTCCTCCCTATTGTGATGAATCATATTACTAGAGTATAAATACACAGAACTATGTCTAGATGCTGTTATACATAAAAGGCCATCTTAAACAGAACTCAAGTACTAAAAACTTTCTTACCAGAAAAGAAGCTTCCTTCTTAACCAGAAGGAACCGTACAAATGATTTATTAGTCAGAAGTCTAAACTAGCAAAGCAACCATCTCCAACTAATCAACTTCTGCTCAATCTGTAAATCTGTGTCACATGGCCAGGAGGCCACAGAAGAAATTTGTTTTATTTACCTGCAAATCCCAATGGAAGAAGTGAAACTTCATCAGACAGTGCCTTCAGAAACTAGTAGTCATTCATGACTCAACTGCTGTCTCAACACTCAGTGTCAAAAGATCTACAGACGTTTAATATATTTCAATTTTCAAGTTTCAAGACCAGACATGATTTTGTATTTCTCTATCCCTTCCATTCAACAAGAAATGAAATCTTTGGAGAGCAGTAATTAAATACAGGAGGACAGGAGGGAGTGGACAGTTGAGCAATGTCTACAAAATTCCTTCTGACATACTAAAATGAACTTGTTTAGCCCACAAACAATTGGAGAAAGCTCTAAGGTGTTGAACTAATGCATGCATCAGAATAAAAATTGATAATCTTCTTAAAGTTCGAGATCTAGGGGTTGCTTAACCGAATACTGAACAATCTAATCTAAATTTTGTAACGAATACTCCACAGAGAAGGGAGAAACAACCTTTGAAATAAAGATAACAAGCTTGGTTTGTCTTCAAGAGAAGATTACAAATAACATTACTAGTGAGATAACTGATTTATTTCACATGGAATTCTAATCCATAAATTCAATGATCCGCTAATGGATCAATGTTCATTCTTTTCATCAACAAGATCAAAAAAAACAATATACAATGATTATTAGCCAATGACTGGACCAAGCAATAAGGGACAATACTAGTAAAGAAAAATATAAATACAGAGAAATCGAGAGGAAAGAAAAGATGAGTTACTTTGCAAGAAGATCGTGTGAAAAAGACACCTCTGATGTCACAAGCAGCAATTAATCCGAGTGGTGGTGGTAGTAGTCATCAAGGTCAATGATAGAGGATGAGGAGGAGAACGAACCAGCATAACGATCAAGTGGAAGATCAGATTCAGAGGAGGAGTAATTGTAAGTGTAGTAGGAATCTGGCAGGGGAAGACAGAGGAAATTCCAGAGACAGAGAGCAAAACGACCCAATTGCTGCAGAGGGAAGCAGCACAGAGTATCAAGCAGCTGTTGGCTGCTCAGCTCCTCATGTATGCTTAAGATCCGCTGCCAGACGTCCGCAGATATGTCGGCTACCGCGAATACTAGAACGCCGTTGAACACCATCTTTCAATCTCCCTCCACCGTGCAGAACGATTGTTCCTTTGGATTTATGAGTTCTTATATACGGATATTTTTATATGATATTTTATTTTGAAAGGTCATCCTCTGACCAATTCCAATCTCTGCAAAACCCTAATGCACAAATGGTATTCGCAGAAAAAAATGTGTTTGAGCGAAGAAAGTTGGTGATGGGTCTCTACAAATCAACATGACTAACCAACCAAATCTCCATTGCGGCATTTTCTCGAACACCTTTTCATTTCCCTCTTCACCTCTTCAAATTCAGAACTTTTTCATTTGTGCATGGCGATCCAGTCTGAACAGAGGAACTCAGCATTCAGGTGGAAGAATAATGGATTAAAGAAGCTCAGTGGCGTTCGTGATACTGATGATCTCCGCGTTCACGGCGGCTGCTACAACGAATAAGAGGAATTTCCGACGTGCAAAAGATATTGCATGCTGATGTACATGACCAGCGGTGAACGCACCATCGCTTGTAAACTCGGAGGCAGCAGCTGCTGGGTCGAGGATCTTTCTCCAAACGGGACTGAACCCACCTGGCTTTCAATTCTTTTGTACATTATTTCCGACTGTTAATGAAATTTAGCAGCGAAAGTCGTGATTTTTCATCAATTCAAGACCATTTGTACTCTCAAATCCGAAATGTGTAATCCAATTTATTTTGTTCAAACAGCACTGTCTCAATTCCATTGAAAAGGACTAATTTTCTAATTAATGGAACAAACCATTCGATGATCGTTATATTTATTATTTTCTTGAAGGAAATCATCCGGTTAATATTTTCTCTCCATCCAAACAGACCCTTTATAAAGTTTCCAAACACCAAATCAAAAAGGATTAATAGCAAAAAGGCGCAGCGTAATACATCTTCGTGACAATGGAGGGCTTGAAGGTATGGAGACTATCGGCGAGGCCCTTCAGTCGCCGCTTCCATTCTTCCTCCTCTCCCTTCTCTACCGGTGAACGGATATATTCTGCTTTTGTCGTCCACTGCCCCACAACCACCTCCGGCGCGGGTTCCACAACTAGAAACCGTTGCTCTTCTTCCTCCACCTCTAATACTTCCGACCGCGAAGCCGTCCGCGCCATTCGCATCAAGAAGGTACTGGACATTAATCTCTCTTCAGTGGTCTCTACGGTGTTGTGTGTTCAAGTTTGGCATTTATATGGGTTCATTATTATCCGTGAGATGCGCGAGAACAAAAACTAAATTTGGAATTTTTTTTTTGTTGGATTTTTAATTGAAAGACTCACCCACCATTTCTCGACCCGTGTCATGTACCTTGAAATGGTGGGTGAGTCTCCCAGCGAGGGCTGCTGCGTGTACAAGATCTCGAACTCGAAATCTTACTTAAACTGGAACAAATCGCTTACCACTTGATTCAATTCCTTGTTGGTGAAAGATGACTTCTTTATAGCTAGAGATTAATGTTAGAATTTAAATGTTGAAAAATGATAAATAAAACAATGTCAATTTGCTCCACTTACATTGCATAAATACATGTACATGTATTTCTTCCTTGTTTCTCTTGTTCGGGTTTATATGCAAAGTCTTGGCATAGGTAAGGAGAGACATTTGAGGTTTAAGTTCCTATTTGTTTGATTTCATCAACTTGAGAATTTGACACAACTCAAGTTTTATTTCATTAATTGAATCATGCTTATTCTAATTTTATAAGTGGAAGAGCTGAAAAACAAAGGCTGAGCTAGAGCCGTATGCTTATGACGCATACAGCTAAACAGCTGCAAGACATATATAGG